TTGGTTGTGACCTTGGTGAGTTATTTATTAGTATTAACCCTGATAACAATACAGCTAAAGCAATGTGTTAGTGGTTTTAGGGGATGTACTGGTGCAGCAACACATCTGGGACAAAATCACTAATATAAAGAGTCAAACTGTGTCAGCAGACTTGGACAGAAACGCATAACAACCCAGAGACATTACAAAAACGTCCACGTTGTTTCCACAGTACGACTTAAAGCTGATGAACACACTGAAGTGGGAGGAATATCTTCTAAAGTCGGGAAATGGGACAACCTGAGATCACGTGAATGCAGCATCAGCCTTGTCCTCCTGCCGCTGTGCTCGACAGCATCTGACAGCTTTAACTTGTCTCGGCCGCGTTTAGTATGAACAACACCGTAACATTATATAAATGACGGCCAATAAGACTGTTGCGTCACATTTGAGGCATAATGGATCACCGAGAGGGGCTCTGGGGACAGCGGACCCCTCTGAAGTGTTTGAAAGTCAATCGACCACAAAGAGTAGATAAGTCTAGAGTCGTCTACAAAGAGACACAAATTCTGCAGCGTTTGTAGGATGTGCGAGGGGCCTTTAACATGTCTGCGCCCAGGGGCCCGTTTTCCCCCCAATCGGTCCAAGGGCTGAGGAGGGGGCCACAGAATCCGGCCTTTCAACTGTAAGGAGACACATACAAGCTTGTTTGAGAACCAGCAAAAATGCTTTTGCACACAGTTTGCGTGTTGTGGAAAACATCCTGTATTAATATAATAGGACAACAGTAATCCATGTGATTAATGTGTCGAGGGAAAAACAAAAACAAACAAAAAAGTTTCTCTCCAAGAGGGGACGAACGCAGAGGATGGATATTCCCGGGGGATTAATAAAGGCCGCCTCCTCCTCCTCCTCGCTCTCCCTGAATCCGCTGGAAATAATGATACAGCAGGATTGTCGTCCGTCTCCTCGTCCTCCGTCTCCGAGCTTCTTTCTGAGCGATAGATAAGAGCAGGTTAGGGGAGGGCCGGCTCTGTGTGGATTCACATAACTAACCTTCAGTGTCCAATTAGATTAGTCGCCGCCAAACCAATTAGTGTTTCTGGGAGGGAGGATGAGATGCCCGTAGTCGTATTAGGGCTCTGATATCCAAGCTGCAAAACATGCTGACAAAGCTCTTCAATAATCACTGCAGTGGAAAATGCAGCCTGTTTTTTTTTTTGCTAGCATAATAATAGAAAGAAGTTTTTGAACTTGGAACAAAAATACAGGAAACTGGGGTAGAACTGCAAACTTTGGCATTAATTAGTCCGAGGATCTGCAAAACAATCTTGGGTGCATTTCTTATTCTGAGAAAACAACAATTATAAGCAAAAGGTGGCTGGAAAGAAGAATCAGTGCATCAGATTAATGTACGCTAGCACTTTTCAAGCCTGGAGGTTTCTGTGCACCAGACTCCATTGTTCTGAAAGCCAACTCTGACAAAGGGCTCGACCGTTTGATTGTGGCGTCGACTCATTTACGAGCATGTTGAGGCTCAAAGCTACAGTTTGTCATCAGGCTCTCTCATAAAATGCCGCTGGGATCGGTTCATTACAGCCCCAACACAATACTTTTCACCCAGGGTTAGTGTTTTTGTTATCTTACTGTTATTTATTCCACTGAGGGGGTTCCAGGGGGTCCTCAGCAAAAAGGGAATAATTTATTTTGGTTATAATTCCATCCAAAAGTAGCCCAGTGACAGAATTTATAACTACTTGGTTCACTGGGTTTCAAACACTTTCTGTAATAAAACATCTAAAAGCAAAAACTGAGGTTATTTTGACACCGTGTTCCCTTCAGTGTGAATGTTTGTGGATCCGTACGTTTTGCAGACCTGTTAATTAGATGCCCTGGTGGTTCAAATCTGCAAACTTTTATGTGCCAGCTTATGTCAAAAATAATTTTGTATGTGTTAGTTGGTAAGAGGTTTCCTCAAACAGCCACGAGTGACTTGATTATGCACATGAAAAGATAGAATCTGATATTTACTAAAATGTGAGGGGTGCACTCACATATGTGAGATACTGCATATTTAAGTGACTGGCAGCAGGAGTTCATTCGGAAGTTACCTTTAAACATTTACTGCGTGTAGCAGGTTTACAGGAGTCCAGCTTTTCAGTTTGACCTATAAAAGCAGAAGATAAACGTAGTCCTTTCTAACCCAGACTCATCCTCGTTAGTTTCCACAGACTCTTCCTTCTGGCCTGAGGCTGCACACATTTTAACCTGCTTACTTCTGGTACCCACAAATCAATTGGGCCTAAAAATCTGGCTTTGCTGTGATCTCATTTTAGTGCCCTGAGAGAAGAATGTGTACTTTTACTGTCTCCAAGTGTTGGGGAGTACTACTGCACATGTGAAACAATTTATTAAAAGCTTTTAGTGTCTCAGCGGAGTGCAAAGTCATCTGTCAGGGCTCTGGTTGTATTGTGGGTAATGTAGGATATGAGAAAGAAGAATGTGTGCACAAATATATCTGTGCTGCATTTTGTAACTCTGTCATGAGTCCGACGTTGTTAAAGGAGTGCTTTTAAAGGACCGGTTCCCATTTTCTTTATGAACAGATTTTTGCATATGAATGCCGACCCTGGTATCGGAGTTGTCCTGGTTTCTGTTTGTAGCTTAGGTTGGATGCAGGTAAACGGTCAGTGTGGAGAGCAAAAGAGGCAGAACGCATTGGCCGAAATGCAACCCTGGAATCCATTGGCTATCGTCTGACAACGATTTAGACGACTTTTTAAAAATTGCATTCTAATCTGCTTGCTAACTGGACTGTAAACCATTACTGGAGCACAGAAGAGGAAGTCTTGGCCCGAAACATCGCCAGATGAAACCCGATGGGTTCCGAGACTGAGCGATACTCACATACGGTATTTACGTTGAGTTCTCTGCGGTTGTAATCATTCCTCCTCGCCACACAAGCCATAGTGTGATTCCAATGTAAAATCAACAGTCTAGTCAAGTTTATCTGAAGTTAATATAAGTCCCAAGGTTACTGCGAGCATTTTTCAAAATGTAACCCCCACGTTTGCAGGAGGGATTGAACCCTCCATCTTACAGTTAATTGGATATTCACTACAGCTGACAGTGAACCCTCCTCCCTGCACCATGCTGTTAACACAGCTTCTGACAAATGCCTCAGAGTCTCGTGGGTATAATTAACCAGCTCGCTAAATGTTGGCAAGCCATCGACACATCAGGAGGACGAGCATTAACGAGGTGAAAGTTGACATTCACTCCGGTTGTTCCAGGATCAGTTTGCAGAGGGTGGAAATACATTTACTCTCACTACTCTAACAAAATCATTTACCAAAGTACTTTTATTTAAAGTATTGAAGTCTGAAGAACTGAAGTCACTAGAAAAGTCACAATAAACTGTGTGAGAATGGATCAAAAGAAGGCGTCAAATCAGCAACTGAAGGCGAGAAGAAGCTGCTGGTTTACGTGCAGGTCGGCTCGATGTCCAGAGAGGCGCCTCTCTGCTGGCCTCCTGTGAAACACGGAGGAAACAAGGTCATTCAGGGAGCGTGGCGGAGCGTTAACAGTCAAACACACGTATGGCTCTGAGAGTCGCCGTGCGGGTACCTGTGCTGTAGCTGTGGGGGAGTGGCGTGCCAGTACGTAGTCGTAGCCCCGCTGTTAAGAGCGCTTCATTTAACGTTACCATTCACCAGCCTTGATTGCCCGGTGAAGCTCTGAACATGCTGCCGTCACTGGCGGAACCATGTGTTGCGTTTGCTGCCACAGAAGAGAAATTAATCTGTTGTTCGTTGCAGCTACGTTACCCAGCCAGATTAAATTAGCTTGACCGAGGTCTTCAACCACAGCTCATGAAACTCTGATCCATTTTTATACTGTTTGTTTTCTCTGATGATGTGTTTCAGAACAATCACTCAAGTGTTTCAAAATTCTACCCGTTAGTAAATACAGCTGCCAGCACACACGTTTGTAATCGTCTGTTTTATTCATGTGAGACACGTGATAAACAGCTGAAAAGTACAGCACTGTGCAAGAGTTTTAAGGCAGGTGTGAAGACAAATAAAAAAAAAAAGCTGTGAAGACATGTTGATTTCAAAAATAGACATGTTAATAGGTTAAATTGATCAATAATCAAATGCAACACGAGTGAACAGAAGTGTTAATGACCGTGTTTCAACCTACATATGGAATTCATTATCACCAGATATTGATTTTATTTAGATTTTTCTTCTGTTCACCCTCTTTGCATTTTGTTAATTGATAAATATCGTCTGTTAACATGTCTATTTTGAAAACATTCTTAGTTTACAGTATTTTTTTGCCACACCTCCCTAAAAACTCATAAAAAACATAACATGTTTTCTTCATCTCCCTGTTTACTTTTATTTAAGTACACTTTCACACAGTAACTTTTACTTGAGTGAAATATTCCGGTACTCTTTCCCTCCCTGACCGTCGGATATAATGTTTGACTTCTTGCTCTGGATGCCTCTAAACAGCCGTGTTTGGCAGAGCGCCAGCGTGAGGGCACGAGGAAGGGCAAAACAGATGCACTCATTTAACAGACCTCCGCTCATTTATTCTACTCATGCAACAGCAACTTATCTCAATGCAGGACACAACGATTTTTATAACAGCACAAGGCCCAGGTGAGCGTTGCAGAGGTATCTGTGCCGTGCATTCAGGATCTGTAGATTGTGTTTTATTGATGATATTCAACGGAGAAACAAGCTTCTTAGGAACTGAGATTGAGTAGTTGATTTTCTGAAAGTCAGCCGTGCACCTCAGATTTTCTTTAGTGCCCATTTTCTCCACGAAAGGAACCATGTTGAATCTCATTTACAGCAAAGAAAAGGAATTTTTGATATTCTACATTCTCTGATGGAGGTCCGTGTGCGACGAGGAATTACTTAAATCAAATACTTTCTCGAGGCAATTCAAGTGAAAAAGCTTTCTTAAGAGTAAGACACGACTACCAAACTGCGAGTCCTCAGGGAATATATATAAAAAAATAACCAAATGTTTTTTTATTTCATGTTGATACATTCTTGGACAACACCACAGAATAGTTGCATGAGTGGCCAAATGTAAATCTCTCCCACAACAATTGGCACATAAGCAGCAAGGGCAACATGAATATACCTAGTACAAACAGTAGAAAACATACATGCTTCCTTTTTTTTTTTCTCTTCTTCTTACAAGTATTTTTGTTTTTTTTAAATATATATTAATCTTTTTCCGTAGTTTCCAGGAAAATAAGAAAAACAATCAAAGCCATATTCTGCTGTGTGAGAAAGAATCAGTGGAGGTCAATGGTAAAGAAACTCAAAATCAAAAACAGTACACTTCAGAGCAGACAGGTGGAATCAACTGTGTTGAGAAAATTTCATTATTTTAAACTTTTTTTTTTCTGATTCTGTTTCAACATCGAACATATCAGGCATGCATTGACAACCTCGACATCAACACCTTTTAGTTGTATCAGTAGTCCATGAAATCACCAGATATTCAGCACAAATCCAGTGAAGTCTGGATCCAAGGAGGTTCTTTTTAAGTGGGCTACAACACAGTTAAGGGTCGTCATCATCATCATCATCATCATCGTACACCTACAAAATACTGGAGAAGTCATCGTGTTTGCTGCGTGTGGAGAAGGAACACACATGTTGGGATGGGAAGGCTTTCATCATGGGACCACAAACAGTTCAAACAAAAAGGCCTTTAGAAACACGCCTGTTTTTTTAAAACGTTTTTTTTGAGGGGGGCTTTGTGTTCACGCCCAGCCGAGGAATCTGATTTTTACCACGTCGGGGGACTGAAGTGAAGATTTTTGGAATCGCATGCGTCAGAAACCCGATGAACAGAAGGCAAAATCTCTGATGGTTTTTTTTGAAAAGTTCACAGCTCAGATTTATAACAAGTTTCTGAGGAACGGGTGACTTCAGATCTCTTTCCCAGTCAAGCGACGAAGAGAACACGACACGTTCAGAGGCAACCTGGCAGCCCCGGAAAACTTGGCTTCAATTCTTCAGTGTGTTTCTAGAACAGAGGTCTTCAAACTGTGAGCCGCCTCCCGCCGAGGAGGGAGACAGGTGAGGCAAAGATACTGAAAGGGGGCGGGTGCGTGCAGGAAGTTAGTAGTGGCTGCTGATTGGACGGCTCACCAACACGGGCAGCAGGTGGCGCTGCAGCGGTGACAGCTGATGGACGATATGTAAGATACTTTAAGTTACAGGAAACATTGATTCAGGCGCAGCACAAAAATACTCTTTCCATTGTCACCTGGAATCAGCTCTGCGGGAGTTTCACTAAATGTTCATGATTCACCTGCAACACTCCTGAACCTTTTTGGCTAATGATGAAACAGAGCTGGAAACCCAAAGACGATACAGAGATGATGCTGAGACAATATGTTATTAATACCTATTAGCCACAAATTCACATTTTAAAGTTTCCTGTAACTTTAAAACAAATTGCACTCCTGCTTGGAGTCCTAACTCCGTCAACTCTGAACAGACACAACACACATTTTTAGATTCAGTGACTTACACCTGTAATTATATCAAAGTCCATCATTAATAAAGATCCAGAAATCTGCTTAGAAATCACAGAAAGAAGCTGCTCCTTCTGGCTGCACATCCTGCCTGAGAATCTTTAAGTTTTCTTCAGTATCAGAGTCTCCAGTGGAAGCTTCTGTGGGTCCACTGCTAACAGGAGCGGCTAACAGCATTTAGTACTTTAATGGTGCCAGGTTTGAGATTCACCCCCTGTACTAAATAATGACGCTGTCATTATAAAAGTGAGAAGCTGGCTGAGAAAATATGGTTGCAGGACTTTTTTAAGATGTCCAGATTTTTGGGCGGAATTACATTTAAGAGAAAAATGCAAAAATCAGATTCCAGGTGGCCGCGTGAGCAAAGCCCTCAAAATCCTCAAAGCGAAGAATATGGCTTTAATAAAAATAAAAAAAACAATGAGCATCCAAGAAGCAAGACCAAAAACAGATTCATCATCAACATCATAACCATTGTCTTAAAAAAAGAAAAAGGGAAATAAAAATCAACAACCCAAAGGAGGCCGACATGTAAGCCATAACGAACGGACGACACGCGGGTGGACGGGAAGGTTGGAAACTTGCAGTTTGGAAGGACATTAAAAGACAAGAGGAGGCGGGCTCCGTACAAAGGTCACGTCAGGCCGAGACGGCTGCTTTGTTTGACATCAACAGCAGAGAGAGACGCGACACGGGAGCCCGGAGAGCTCGGCCGACTCTTCGCAAGCCAGAGGCTGAAAGACTTCCACTGATGCATCTATTTGTTCTCAGCACCACCATCACCACCACCTCACGAACAAAAAGATTATTTTAATTTTCTGAACAATTTTCCCCAAATCCCCACGTCTTTATTTTTTAAACAGTTCCTTGCTTCTCTTTGACCGAGTGTGCCCAAAGAAAAGTCCCACAAGGCTTTGCTTTAGCATCTGAAAGTCTGTAGTGGGCAATGAAGCACATGAGACTGAATAAAAAATAAAATAATTTAACAACAACAACAAAAACAAAAAAAAATACCCCTTCCTTCTGGGTTTTTCTCTCTTCTTGTTTTTAGCCAGCGGGGCAGGAGACCAGACATCTCCAGCTATCGCTCTCTTTCTCCTGTTCAGCCTCTCGTTCGGATGGAGGAATGCCGTTAGATCACAAGGTCGTTGTAGCTCACATATTTCTTCTTTTCTGCCGGACCTGAAGAGGGGAGAGAACGGACAGAGCAACAATCAGCTTCAGCGCTAGCGGCTGTAATTTAAAGTATTAACGTCGGGGTGAGATGAGAGTTAATGATTAACGAAAGGCTTGAATTATGAACTCTCAAAAGCGAGGGAGAGTGCAGGTTGGTGTCTTTGACGGCCGAGATTCAGCCTTCAGTACAAAGAGAATCCTCTTCTCTTCTTTTAGAAGTAATGAAGTGATGTAAGGTTTTAGATGTTGAGAGGTCATAACTCAAATGTGGAGGAGGCGTGTGCAGCAGAAGACAAAACAAAGAACATCCAAAAGGTAAAAAAGATCAGCGTCTGCAGAAGCAACCTTTGATTAAACTTTTGGCTCTGTTTAAATCGTGCAAGAGCAACGAGCAGCAGTACAAAGTGCAAAAAGGCTCGGCGGAGGGGAACATAGATCGGAGGGTGTGGTGATTAATAAGTCCACTCTCAGCCAAACACATCATGCCTCCCAACTTGAAGGTCATAAAGCTAGTTGTGTCAGATAAAGCGGAGTTTTGTTTCTTGTTGAAACAAGAACAACAATCTTAATCAAAGTAGTTTATCCCCTAGTATTGACTTTCAATGAACTACTCTATTTAGTGCCAACTACACTAAACAGGAACTCCTTAAAAGGAGCTTTTTGGATTCTACTTTAACACTCGCGGCAGCTGGACGTCCGGCAGCCGAGTGAAAATACTTTTACATTTCAAGCACCGCTCAGTTGTCAGAGTGACGTTTCCCCAGACAAAATACGAGCAACTCTCTCTGTGTTGTGCCTCATTTGAATGAAACCTCCCACTTGTGCACCAAAATGCCGCACAGACGAGCAAAGAGGATTTCAAGGTGAAGGTTTGTGCTGGTCGCTGTGCCGAGAAGAAAATTAGGCCCTCGGATGTCAAATGAGCAGGTAGAACAGGCTTCATCTGTTCCCTTTAGTTATGACCACCTCGCTATCTTCCCCTTGCAGCTGCACCCCCCTCCTCCCCTGTACCGGCGACCACATGGCCCTCGGTGTTCATGCAGTGACAAAAGGCTTCAAGCCCTGAGCTCATCATCAATCATGCCAGGAAGATAAAAGAGAAAATAGCATAATATGCATATCAGGGCCTGAAAGTATCATGAACCTCCCTGACTTTGTCATTATGCATCTTCTTCATTTAGAAAGCAGTCAGTTCTGAGGCTGACGGGGGTTAAACGGTTCAATCAAGGCCGAGTTATCCTACGCAGAACACTGCCAGCAAGCTCAGCTTACTGGATTGAAAGTAATAACATCTCACAGAGTTCTGACAGCAATCTCCTGAGATTAGGAGTAAAGTGGTAGCAGCGCAGTAAAAACACATCTCTTCTCTTGAGGGGTTTAGGATGAACGGGGGAAGACGGCCCAGTAAAGTGCATGTGCCGTCTACATGCAGCAACAGCTGTTAATGTTAACGCCCATCTGACTTTCCTCTGATTTGTAATTCTGCAGACATCAACAGACTTTCAGGAAACTGGATCAAATTCTTCCTTGTTAGAAAAACGTAAAATATTTACATCTTGGGTAGGGCTGGACAATAAAACAATAACAATATTTATCGCAATATAATTTGTTTCAATAACAATAAATCAAATGTTCAATAAATATTCAATAAATGTTTGACTTTATTCACTTGAGTCATACACAAATTAGGATTTTTTTTTTTTTTATTAAGATGTTTATTTTATGGGGGAAAAGGGCCCGAAAAAAAGCTTTTACTTAATTTGACTCGTGCATATTTGTTGACAAAGATTTTATCGTAGTTATGCTCTAACTTAGATTTGTGAAGTTATCCACTGTTTAGCATCTAGTGTTGACCATAATTTAGAGTTTAAACCGCAATTAACCATCAGGTGTCTTCAACTTCCACTCAGGAGCAAAAATCAGCCTTTAAACTCAAAAGAAATAACGATTTGATACTTATCGTGATAATTATAGATATCGAAAGATATGAAAATCTTTATCGTGATAACATTTTTGGCCCCCGGGGACATCTCGTCCCACATCTAAAATGTTTCTATGTCTGAATAAAAAGCAAAAAATGCCATTATCAATGAAAGGACGGGTGACGCTACAAGCTTGTTTGGTAGAGACGAATAAACCATTTATGTCGACACAGTTAGCCTCTTTTAAATGTTCAAATGAGTTTCGTTTGAAACTCTAATTAAAGAGTAACTTAACACCCCCATAAAAGCTCATCTTTGCTGACCTTCACTGGTTTCTGATGTATATGTGAGCTCCAGTAAACCAGCTAACTCTATATAAAGTAGTTTATATTAACAATTCATCAGTCACAGGAGACGTCTTACTGCACAACCAGTACTTTTACTACAGGGAGATGATGATTCTTCTGTACTTTTACGTATGTAAAACACTCTTTAAAGGTCCGGTGTGTAATATTTCAGAGGATCTATTGACAGAAATGCAATATAATATCCATAACTATGCTTTCAGTGGTGTATAAAGACCTTAGATAATGAACCGTTATGTTTTTATTACCTAGAATGAGTCATTTCTATCTACATACACCACAGATCCTCTTAAGTGGATGTTGCTGGATTTAGAAATTAAATTGATATAATGTACAACCTCATGGAGACATCGACAATGTTAGTTTTATTGCTTATTATAAAGTACTTATTTTGTCCGAGGAGCACGTGATTGCACAGTGAGCCATTTGTTGCAATTCACAACCCTCGCCACTAGATGACACTAAACCTTACACACTGAACCTTTAACCTGTAATGGAATATTTTTACACTGTTGTACAGTATCGGTACTTTTACTTGAGTAAATGTTTTGAGAACTTCTTCCACCACTAAACAAAGCACAAACACTGCTGTTACTCTTTATGCAGCCTCAGGTTTAAAAACTTGTGCTTGAATAAAATATTCATTATGTAAATGATAAAATCTGTAGATACCTTAAACCCAATTACTCACTGGGAGCAAGACGCCTCTTTAGCTCGTGTTTTGTATTTACTCTAAAAACACATTTAGGTTCTTGCACAATCATACGAACGGCAGTAAATGCTCCCAATCTTCCTCGACATGTTTGATATTTAAATCCAACAGACACATGACTTTAGGGATTATTCTGCTCTATTACTTGTCTTAACAACAAAGGAGGTATCAAGATTGTTTCAGGTGAACTCGCTCGTCGACATCTGAAGCTCGCTGCTCAGTCTCCACATTCGTTCCTCAAAATAAGATTTAAAGGGCGTGCCACATATGAGGAAGAGTTACAAAGGCTAATCCCCAAAGCAATGACTGTAGAAGATGTATTTCACGTCTGCAGGCACCCAGGGCAGTGCTAAGAAAGAAGGGGAGATTTGGAAGTACTACTTGTAAGGATTCTTTTGAGAGCAGTCAGGGCTATATGAGTTTTAAGAGATCTATAGAAGCCTTTGTTGGGTGAGCATTCAGCTGTTGGAGAAAGGCAGAGGCCTTATAAGAGGAGAATCGGAGGGATTTGGCCTTTGAAGCGAAGGAGAACGGCGAGAGATGGAGGTCTTTGTTGTCCCGGAGTCAGCTGCAGGTGCAGAGAGGAAGGAGAAGGAGACGGGGGCAATAAGAGCAGAGAAGAAGAGATGAAGCCATCTTAAGTGACTGAAGGCTATTACAGTGTGGCGACGGAGGAGGGAGGCGGCGGCGGCGGCGGCGGCAGGTGCGAGGCCGAGATTGAAAAGAGAGAGCGTTTAAAAAGAGCGAGCGGAAAAAACAGTAAACCTGCGGCCGAGTGAGCGAAGGCTGCAGAGAGGGAGAGATGGAGTGATAAACGAGAGGGGAACCGGGTCGACCCGGGACAACAGATGGCTCTTCCGGTCTTCAGGGAGTCGTGACTGAGCTGCAGTCTGCAAACACAGCTGCAGTGCTGCTGTGACGACTCCACCACGAACTGACTCTGAATAGCAAAAGTGAGTCCAGGCCTCCAGGCCCAGGCATCACCACTGGCAGCGGCAGGGTTTTAGTTATTTAACGGTGAGACCACAGAAATTATATACAATAAACTAGGCTAGGCGCAGATTTTACATAACGGGAGAGCCGGGACGAATGAAACGCAGCGACTTTCTCCGAGCCTATATAAGCACCTCAGCACATACAGACCAAAGGACTTTTATTCAGGTTTAAGTTTAAACGTCAGGAGTCACTGTCACGTAACCATTCTACCCCATTTACTGCAGGAGGGGATTAGAGTCCACCAGGCTGCAGGCTGGACCACCAGCCAAAAACTAGGGTCTTCACAGTGGACCAGGAAAACAGGCAGCCGAGATCTAATCCGAATGTGCATTAACGGTTTGATGGTCTAAAAGGACAAAATATCTTTTGCAGTTACATATTAAGGACACTGTCAAGCATTTTAAATAAAAAAACAAGAATTTAACAAACAATTTAAATGTATATCGTTGTGTTTCATCTGTCCCGAACAGCAGGGACAAACCAAACATTAACCCAAAGTCCTTGCACATTTTTACAAGATAGCACCTGGTATTGATAAAACACACACACACGTGAGTTGCTGATCACAACAAATTATTTCTGTCTTTAACGTTTTGTTTTAAAATGATCTCTCTCCCCGACTTATTTGAACCCAAATTACCCAAATCTTTTTCTAAAGCTAACCAAATGAAACTGCGAGCGTTTTGTGTTCGCTGGACTGCTCGTATGGACGTCACTGTATAAAGTAATTGGCAGTAAAACTATTGTTTCGCTTAGGAATGAGGCAGCGTTGGACATTTCTGTTGGTTTCATCTATTATTAATAACAATAATAAACTTCAGTTACAGAGCACTCATCAGAAACATGAAATGAATGATAAAATACATAAAAACAAAAGTGTTTTGAATCTGCAGAGTGATTCTTTCCCGGCTAACAACCTGCTAACAACCTGCTAACATTGCTATTAGACAGCTAACATCACCATCAGCAGCAGTGTTAGGAGTACACAGCACCAGAGGAGCTGCTGCAGACTCACAGGTGGTCTCCTCCTGACTTCTCTCTCATTATTATTACTCTCCAGTTCCTCTTGATGACGCCGTGTGATGAAGAAGTGATGCTTTTTTGATCACACTGCTGTCGCGCCAAAGCTAACTGCTAACAACAGAAGAATCAGACAGTATTTCCTTTATCGAACGTTTGGTCTTGGATCCCCGTGTATCCCCCGCCATAGACCGCAGTAAAACCTGAGGTCAAACGTACAGTTAAAGTGCCACCTAAAAATAGCATGCACCAGAGGAAGACTGTAAATCTGCCACTCAACAGTCATATTATGCTCTCCTCATGTAAAAGTTATGAGTCAATTGAAAGATGGCGATGAAGAGCTGTGGAAGGATACTTAACATTCACCGCACACACTCCCTCCTCTCTCCCACTAAAATGTATTCCCCTTATCTCTCTCTCTCTCTGTGGACCGGCTCTCTCTCCACCTCCTCAAACCTCCACAAGAAAATGGATCAAGGTCAGGACAGCAAAGCAGAAGCAGAAGATTAATTTGCTCTTACCTCGGATAAATTATGAAATTAGCCTGTCGGGGGGGGAGAAAAACAGTATTCGGTGAGTTGTCCCGGAGAGCCCCCAGAGGGAGTCCCACTGCGAGGCGGGAACTCCATCACATTGCCATGTAATTTCAATTTGTGCACTTTTTATTTCTGGGAACATTCCGGTTCTTCTTCGCTCGTTTATTACGGTTCTGATTTCCTGGTGGAGCAAGTGTGCATGTTTTTTTTCTTCATTTCATTTGAAAGCTGTTTGATGTTTCTGCCGTGCTCCTTTTTTACTTTTGTAGAAATGCAGGTCTTTGTGATGGAAAATTCAGCGTGGAAGTTAGAAAAATGCTCAGCGTCTCATGCTGAGCGTCACAGAGCTGAATGTGAGACAAAAATAAAAATAATAAAAGTGACATGGCATTTGGACAAAACTACATTATTCAGCCGTTTGTGTCACAGGGAAAACTTGTATATGAAAAGGAAATAATGGTTTTAACTCAACACACCTTCAACACATCAGCATGAATTTCCAGGATTTTCACAAATCCTTACTGACCATAAGCAATGAGGCACCGTGTGCAGAGGAGGGACGCAGCGATTACAGATTTAGTTGCTACGATTATAGTCTAATATAGTATAATAATTATAATTATAGTCTAGAATAATCACGGTTTCACGATTATTATGAATGAATTAATTTAACAGCACTAGTAATGACTTACGTTGATTTTTAATATTTAATTACATTAACAATTATATTTCTATAATATGTAAGTATCATTAATTTGAGAGGAATATTAACTTTATTTATCCCCCAGGGGAAACTGTTACTCTCATCCATACATGCAGCATCTCTCATGCAGTGTTATGAATAAGTGAAATGCAGGTGATTGGTAGTCCTGGACGTCTATAAGCTCCTGATGTTTTGTTAGTGTTTCACACCTGGCAACATTTCCTCAGCACAGACAGCTGGAGGAAGCAGGATGTAACGTTAAATGTTCAGTGACTGAAGGTCTGCAGAGGATGACGTTCAGAAAAGAAGCGATTTGCTCTGCGTGGGTTCAGCGCAAACATTTGACAGCGGCGTGTGCGTGAGCTCGCTCAGTTATTATGTATTACCTTGACTTTCTTCAGTAACGCCCTGGTCAGTGTTGGTGCACGCGAAATGCTCTTTGGTGGAAATAAAGCTTCACAGTTTGGTCCCTCTGCCAGAGTTTAGCCAGTGAACAGTAGTAGCCTCCATGTCTCTGATAAGCGCGACACTTTCAGCTGCTGCACCGCTCGTTAACTTTTTATTTTCATTTTGTGCAAGTTTCAACACAAACAGTCGGTAATCGCTGCATCCCTCGTGCAGAGTCCCTTTACAGCCCTGATTAATGAGCTCTCACGCTGTCTTTATGCTGCACCTCAAAAATTGGCCCTCTTTTTACACATTTTTGGGTCAAAATGACTAGTAGGAACAAAATATTTTGAATCTGTGCAGCGGCTGCTACTTATTCCTTTGGGGCGTCCACAGAAAGAGCTTCTTGTTGCCACCGACAGGCTCAGACTTCACCAGGTGTCTGACAACATCATGGAAAGGATCCCTACGAGGGACCCCAGGTGACCCCCCCTTTGTTTTTGACAGGAAACTGAAGTCTCGTTCAAGAACAATTCTGACTGAAATATCGTGACAGGCGAGTTGTTGCAGAAAGACGCCGGAGAAAAACGAGAACCACTGCTCTACGTACACAACAAACTCCTCTTACTCGTTTGCACCATCGAGACTTCAGTTTCCTGTCTGTTCCTGACTTCTATTCTTTATTATTATTTTGTAAATAAACTATAACTTTGTTCTTGTAAACTCGTCTCATCTCCGCTGAGATCTGCGCCGTGACGGAGGGAAAAAAAGCTGCTGGTTGAAGCATCTACTGCCCGGATTCACAACTGTTTGTACCTACAAGTCACTGCAACACCAAGATATGTGGAAATAGGGCCCAGGTTTAAAAATACTGAAATAAACTCTGTTTGTACAAAAATTACTATCAGTGATGGTCTCCCACAATAATAATCTAAATCCACCCCGTCTCTAGGAAATTAAGTTTATGTATTAATAATTTGTTTTTCTGGTGTAAGAAGTGCTACGTTAACAGATTGAACCCGAGTCTCAGGACCTGACGGGATTGTGACAGTCTGGTTTGGTTGAGGCAACAAAAGCACTTTGGTTAATTGAATTAATTATTGAAGATCACAGATTCTGTTAGATATTAGGAGGAAATGGTTTAAATGCCTTTATTAGCCTGTTGTGGGTTTTGAGAACTACATATATATTACTTATGGGATTTGTTACCTGTGGACAGGCCTAGGCTAGCTGTTTCCCCCTGTTCCAGTCTCTATGCTAAGCTAAGCTAATCAGCTGATGTCTGTAGCTTCATATTTAGCGCACAGATACGAGAATGAGCGCTGAACGCTTGATTCTCAGAGACAAAAACTGTTTCCAAGAATGTCAAACTCTCCCTTTAAAGAATGCGATAAGTGTACGGTTGGATGGGTGAAATAATAACATGCTTTATTACGTTTCGGCTGAGTTTAGATTCAGGGATGGGCAGTATTTATGTTGCACGTGTTCAAAATACGTATTTCAAATTCAAAATAAGATTTTGGAATTTGTTGTATTTGACAGGGTCGATGAAAATGGCTTCAAATTTTGCATCAAAATACTTTGCGCTTTGTATTTTGTAGTTTAAAAATACCGTAAAATACTCATACATCATGAAAACGCTGCCTCTGATTGGTGCCTGCTCAGTAATTTGCCCGGACGTTTTGAGATCAGAACAAAAAATGCCTACGTTAAGTTTTTGTCAGTTTGCACAAAATCAAATGTTTCAGAGTTGCTGTACCACATGACTTTCTAACGCCACGGGATGCTGTAACTTGTTGAATGCACACCGTTGTGCTGCAGCGGCAATAAACAGCAGGTTGTCGACCCGTCCGCCTCTCGTGTTTGTTGTAGCTCAGATGATGCAAAGTGGGCCCTTCATTACCAAACACTAAGTAATTAAACTAGGATTCAATTAGGAGTCATTAGATAAACATTAAACTGTTGGTGACTTTAAAATAACCTTCATCTGGGTGATCGCATGTGAATATCTGAAAGCTGTTGCTCTCAACTTTTTTTCCACTGAGTCAGTGTTCTTGGAAAAGTATTTTTAGTGTTTTTAAAATACAAAAATAAAGTTTATTTGGGCTTATCTTATTTAAAATACATTTTGATCCAGTTTTACCAACCCGCTCTCACTCCCCGACTCGCCACATATGGACGCACGGTCAAGAGCCATCGCCCTCAGTTTGTAACGCCGTCCTAGTTCAGTGACAGTGGGGGAAGCCCCGTAGCGTCAGTTTGTGACGGTAAAGGCAGGTATATGATGTATAACAGAAAAGACCGGAACCCGGACTTTGAACCAGGAGACCGGGGTTCATGTCCCGTGTGAAACAAAAAGTCACCATTAAATATTTGTTTTTATGAAAGTTATACGTAAATTGACGTAAGTGACGTTAGTTAACTTACGTGCTAACTGACGTACGTAGTTATTTTAACCCAAACCATGATCTTTTCCTAACCTAAACCAAGTACTTTTGTTTCCTTAACCAAACTGCAACGTTTCAAGACTTTAATAACGCGGCATTTCAAAATGGTGATTCTAACCGGACGTTGCTTATTTATTGTTGCTAAGCGTTGCTAACTTGACCTCGGAGCCCTAAACGTCAACAAAAGATGCAAAAGGGGTCGTTAAAAGGCGACGCCAAAGGGCCTTGACCAAGAGTCAACATGTGACGAGTCGGGAGTGAGAATGTGTTCACTTAACGCAGTCTGTATGTTACTGTGGGAGCCCTGACGAGGTAATAAACAGTGCTTTGTACTCATCTCATCTAGGTTTCAAATTCCTATCAAAGTCACTGTTTTCCCCGTTCTGACTGACATGAGACCGAGCGGATAAAGCTGTGGTCAGAACTTACTGTTGGCGTCGACGTTCTCGCACAGCTCCGTCTTGGCCTCTCCGTTGGGCCTCTCGCTGGCCTTGTGGGAGAGTCGGGACGACATGGTGGCGGCCGTGACGACGGCTTTGAAGGAACGTTTCCTCTTCTGCACGTTGAGCTCCGGGTGGAAGATGATGACGTAGACTTTGGGCATGTAGAGCATCCCGAGGGCCACGGACGCACTCAGGTTCATGGAGATGGTCAGTGTGGTCGTCTGGATGTAAAGCTGGAGGGCGAACAGGGAGAATAAAGGCGTGTTAGCACATGAGAAGAAGCTGCTGTTGTTCTTTCATGTTCAGAGAAGAGCAGGATGACAGAGGAGAGGAGTTCCCTCCTGCTGCAGTAAGAACTCTGCCCCTTCAGGGAGTGTTACTTATTGTGTAATCTTCCTGAGAGACAGAAGAAAAAAGGTTTTAATATTTAGATTGTTTTCCAAAATTTAAGTAATTTTTCATGTAAGAAACATATCACAAAGGTTTTATTTCTGAAAGAGGGTTTTGCACGTCCCTTGTCTTTACATTACAAGTCATGCTTCAGTAATGATAAAATAATACATTTCCTTCGTCGCTTAAACCTGCGTTCTCTTTAACAGCCAGCAGGGGGCGACTCCAGTATAGACTCCTGTATAGAAGTCTCTGAGAAAATGTTTCTACTTCTCAGCTGATTTATTCCCTCAGTAAACACTTTCCTGATGAGTTTATGGTCTCAGTCGCTAGTTTCAAGTTTTCCTAAACACAGCATGATGTTCATTTAGTAAATTATGGTCAATCAGGATAGAGGCGACTCGTATCCGCTGCTCTGTGAACATTTAACCAGCGCCGCTGAAAAAGATCATCAGGTGTCGGCTTGTCATTTTTTCCGATAAGTACATTTTGTTTTAAGCCTGTTTGTCGCTAGCCAAAATTAGCATCCCAGCTAATGTCACAGTTAACGTGAATTACAGATGCACCTTGCCAACTAAGCTAGCTAGCTCCACCGCATTTGTCCAAATATGGTCACGTCTGGTTCCAAAAAACCAAGATGGCGAAGGCCAAACCAACAAGTGACATCATCAGAATCAGATGGAGCTTTATTGCCAAGTAGTGTTTTCCACATACGAGCAGTTTGCTTTGGTGACATACAGTCGACATAAATAGATAAATATGGAATAAACAGATGCAAGTTATATCAGAATAATAAACAGAATAGAGAAAAATAATACAACTATTTGCAGTGAAAGAACAATGTGGCAGATATTTACATGTGCATTACTCCGGTTCGTGTTGTGCACACGTGTTGCAACGGAAGAGAGTATTGCGAACAAATTGACAATATAAAAATATACAACAATTAACAACAAATATGTGCAATGTGCCAGGTTTATGAAGTGATATTTACATGTGCAGAGACATTTGCATTATTTGCAAGAGGAAGTGTCAGTGGGGGACCCGGGCCTTGTTGATGAGGCTGCAGACGGGAAGAAACTGTGTTTGTGGCGAGAGGTTTTGGTCTGAAACAGTTTGTGTGCAAGGTGGGAGGGGTCAGCTTCAATCTTTCCTGCTCGCCTCAGGACTCTGAGGCTCATGAACAATGTGGAGTCCTGAGGCGAGCTGGAAAGATTGCAGCCAATCACCTTCTCTGCAGAGCGAATGATGCGCTGCAGCCTGCCTTTGTCCCTAGCGGTGGCAGCAGCGTACCAGATGGTGACGGAGGAGGTCCTTTAGTCATCTGTTGCTGGGATACCTAAACCATTTGGACTTTTTCCCTAAATGAACATCCCAGAAGATTATAAATTTTTTTGTTTTATTAATTAACTCAATCCAGTTTCTCGCTCACGTCCAGTTACATGAAAGAGCCCGACTGACTCAGTATGGCCCCGTAAAAAGGCCGAACAGAGAACCAAACTCTCGACACATTTCATGAGCCGGTGATGGATTGTTTTTTATTATCCTCTGTGTTCTGAGAACAGCAGCAGACACCCGGGGAGCGGCATTAATGTTTTATGCGCTGTGTATATTGCACTTGCATCCGGAGCCGTGGCCCTCTGAACCCAATAGAGGGCCACGGCCGGCCCGAGATGAATGCATGAACGGGCTCGTGCTGTAATGGGCTTCCCAGAGTGGGTTTCACAGAGTTCAGCCTCACTGTCTTTATGTGTTACGGCTCTGCTGTCGCAGTCTGATGTACGCCATTTACAGCGAGACGCCACGGGGGCGACCTCACAGGAGGCTGAGGGGGAGGAGGGGGGAGAGAGGGGACGGTAGAAGAAGCCATGATGTGAGGATTAAAGGAGCAGACGTGATCAGATGTTTTATCTCCTGATGTCCGTTGATATTTTGGTTAATGTGTTCAGTTAAATAGATTCAATGTCCCACCGACACGTTGCCCTGCTGGAAAAATGAAGCCGGTTTGCGCTAGCAAACACCTCCCCTCCCCTTCAGACTGAGCAGGAACGCTAGCCGGCTGCGTCTTTAGCTGCCATGTTACTTAACATCAGCTCAATTTATAGAAAGTAACTGGTAGCTGTATTTTATTAAGACCTACTTGTCCAGTGTTGCGATCATCTGGTAAAACTGTAGACTAAACTGGTGCAGCCTGCAGCTCTGTCCTCTGCAGACTGGTACATCCTAAATTATTGTTCAGTTTTCAGACCTGAAAAAGTGGTTGTTGGGAAAAGGAAAGAAGGAGGTGACCGGAGGAGCTGAGGTTAGTAAAGCAAGTTAGTGATGCAAGCTGGTCCTTTTAAGCTAACGAGGGGACGTTTCCTTTTGGATTTTAATGTGCAAATAAAATGCAGGTTTCTCATGTTGCCTGGTTTTATTTTAATGTCTACAGATAAATGTCTAAAGATCCTGAGGTCATATTAACAGAGATTGGGGGGGGCAAAACAAGCTGTGCCATAAATGTAAAATCAGATGAAGAGCATCATAACCAACCTAATAACTTTCCCCAGATCTAAAGGTTGTAGTTCCTCCTCAGTAGGCTGATCTTTGGGCGTTTCATCTAAAGCTCACATTGAACTGTGGGAAAACACTGAAATTTTAAGACATGGGTTTGATATTCAGACTATGTACTATGCACACAAAAAAATTGTTTTGCTTCACCTCCGCTGCTACAACTCCATCCTAGGGGAAACACTGGACTTGGTGTTAATTTGTCCTTTTTTTATGCTTCGACTTCCTTCTTCACAGCTCTCTCTGACCCACTTTGGTTCCGTCCTCTGTCTGGCTTCAAACCCCACAGGGAGCTTTTCAGAATCAGAGCATATTGCCTGCCTGATTTTGCTGACTTGTTCAGATTATGTCGATTTACTAATTCATTTTTTGTGCTTCTACTATGATTAAACAGGCTACGTAGTTGAATTTTGGTCTGTTTTAACTGTGTTTATTGTTGACATATGATGAATCTGCACTGGGTGTTTTATTTAAAAAATGAAAATAGGGTATTACAGAAACTTCCTAACAAGGGTTAGGAACTGCTTTAGGAAAAAGTCCTTTCCTAACGTTAGGAAAAGTGTATTACAGAAGCATCCTAACTTCATAAAATCCTAAATAAACTCTCCTCACTTTAGGACAACTGTTAAGATGTCCTAACTTTTAACTTTTCCACCTCGTAGTGTTTAACGCAATGGGCACGGACTGACCCGGTACTGTGCTGTTCTAGCTGTTTTCCGTCCAAAAACTGCGGCGCTTTGTGTCCACAGAGATCGTCTGGCGGGCCGCCATCTTGGTGAGGTCGGCTGCGGTCTTTAGTTTCGTTTGTGTCGCGAGGTATGAGAGCCGAAGAAGAGTGTAATTTGTAGGATGTTCTGTTCCCAAGCTGTGGGCCTGTAAAGCATGGGAGTGCTTTTGGTCATTTATACTGACTGTTTTTATCAATATTTCAATGTTTTGGGAGTTTTATGTTATTTGGAACGTGGTTGTGTGGAGAGAAATAATGTTTTGAAGATAACTACCAATAAAAGTGAACATATAAACAGTAAATATGGCCAAAACATGGACAATCGCCTGGTATATTTTTGAAAGATTGTGTAATAACTGTTGTATATCAGTTTCTTTTCATCAGATTTACAGTTACAGCTGTTTTCCAGGTGGAGTAGAAGATATTCAGGTGCATTATAATCTACCTTATGATGGTTTTGATGGTTTATTGCATTAAAATATAGCTTTTTTTTTACCAGGCGAGGATGAAAACATTATATTTTTTCTGTATTTCATCTCCATGTAGTCTGTAATGGTAAAATAAACAAGTTAATATACAATGGATTCATATTCCTCAGCTTCTGACCTTTCAAAGGAGACCAGGATTATGCATCTAGGCCTGATGTTTGAGGAGATATTACGGATTTATTTTGGACATGTTATTTTAGGTGTTTTTCCTAGAAATAGGTGTCAGGTAGGAGATTAATAACTCATTTAATCCACATGGCTGCTCTTTTATTGCTTTTACAAGATCAACAAAATGTCAACAGGCCGAACTTGTTGATGACAAAACCCTCGTTAGTAGAAAGGCTGTAGGCGATGTAACGCTGGATGATGTCTCATTATGTCACATGCTCGATGTACCAAAGTAGCCCAAGTCTTTGATAGAAGGAGATCGGGGGGGTTTCCTCTGCTCTCTGGACACAACAGTTGCCTTTCTCTTCGTATCACTTATAAATGGACTTATTTTCTTTTTGACAGCTGGCTGCCAGATATCCTGCGGTGACTGTGTCCGCTGTTTTAGCCCCCTCTCCCTAATTAACCATTACGTGGATTTGGATTTCTCGACGGAGGTTACCATCATGATAGCTGTTGTTTCTGCTCCATTTTTTTGTTTCATTTCAGTTTGTTTCATTAAAAAAAAAATACCGCAAAACAGCGATTAAAAGCAGTTTAGCTTAAAAAGTTGTAGCTTTAAAAGTTGATAACCGATGTTGGATTGAGTATTTAGGATTTCCTAACCTGAGATAAGACGGGATTCCTAAAGTTAGTAATATCGGTCTTAACTTAAGACTTCAGACAGGAAGTTTCTGTAATAAAAATACCAAAACTATACTTTAAGAAAACCTAAATTCAGAAACGCTGCAAGTAGCACAGACAAGCTTGTTGATTTGTCACTTGTGGCCCGTTTATAACGTCCTGCTAAATAAAGGTAGACACACAAACACACTCGTGAGTGTTTTGTATCAGCTCTCAGTAAACGCTGTGAACACAGTGGTTCTTTGTCTCTGTGTGATATAAATCAGTGCGATAAGACAACAGCGTT